CGACTCTGAGGATAACCCTCGTGTAGTCGTTCCTCATGATGATGATCTAAAGTATCGAATCCTCTATGAGGTTCATGATACGCCCGTGGGCGGGCACTTAGGTCGGGAGAAGACCTATGGCTCGGTGAGCTCGATGTACTGGTGGCCAAAAATGTATAAGTGGGTTGGCACCTATGTACGCACGTGTGAGACGTGTCAACGGACAAAGTCCGCGCACGTTGGGGACAGTGACGACCTTCCCGTCGGCCAGTCGCACTGACACCGTCCCGTTGCCCTTGCTTTCTCGCAAAGCTTCGGACAACTTGTTGCTGTTACGAGCAACCGTCTGGCGGCGTGCGAAATTCTTCGACGCCCCAGAATCGATCAAGATTCTAAAGGGGTGATCGTACCCCCGTACACATCCGTGTACTACGAGCAACCCGCCGCTTCTCTTCGCCGATTCGAGAGTGCGAAGACTCTCAGGGGCTAAGTCCCCGTGGTACACGCCACCCGCGCACCCATCACGAAGACTTAGTTCTTCCCCAGTAGGGCGCCCCGCCCCTACTGGTTCCTGCGTTCCCCTGTCCCCGGGATCCTGGCTTCTGCCAGCGACCCTTGAGGACGGGCTTGGGGAAGGACCGTCTGCGGAGTCTTTCCGCGGGACAGTCGCGCTTGAAGTGGCCCATCTTCCCACAGCCGAAGCAGCGGATGTCACGCTGTTCGGCGGACCCGAGTTCCATGGGAACTGGTCCGTTGGGGCTTGTTCGACCGGGAGCCGACAAGGAACTCCCAGGCCACGCTGAGGCCGGCGTACGCGCCTGGCGATGGCTGTATTCTTCTTGAAGAGCCACTTGAATCGCCTCTTCAAGGGTGTTTGCCTGCACCCGAAACAGCTGAGTGCGTGCGGGGCCCACTCGAAGGCCGTCCATGAACACAGTCATCTTGATGTGTTCATTGAGTGGGTTTCCCACTAGGGACGCCGTGAGCTCCCGTATCTCTTGCACATACTCGTGCAGTTCGCGTCTTCCTTGTTTACACGCGAGGAAGCGCGAACGCTGGCGGTACTCGTAGTTCGCCGGGAGGAACGCGGCTCGGAGCTGTTCGCACAGCTGAGCCCAGGATGTGAAACATCCAGGGGATGTCGCTTCCCGAGTGTACACCCAACTCTTAGCACGACCGCTAAGGTTGGAGAGTGCAAAAGCAACACGTAGTTGCTCGGTCGAGATCAGAGCCGCGTCCATCGCAAGCTCTACCTCTCGGACCCAGAAGTGAAGGTTCTCGCCTTCCTTCCCTTCATACGGCTTTACCTTCAGCCGTATTGGCTTCGGGTGAGGCGGGTTTGCTCCCGCCGCCGGAGCCTGCAGGTTCTCCCGCACATGCGCGATGAGGCCCTGCTCGTACGCGTCGAATGCATTGACGCGCTCGAGCTGCTCAGCCGGTGTTGATACCACCAGGCTCTGCAGGGCCTCCATCCCGAAGATGCCTGCCATCTTCCGAACCGACTCGAACTGAGAGTCGTTCATATGGGAGAAGTCGTTCCTATCCATGGCAACGAACTTCGGAGGTTCAGGTAGTCTACCCGCGATGGCGTGGATTGACTACAAGTGCTACCAAGTGTGACGGGGTCACACAGCACCTTGCGCTAGAGGAAGTTATCTTCCGAGAGTATACAAACTCTCAGTGAACGGCAGTTCACAGGTCCCCTCTTTAATTAAAGAGAGCGAAGTGACCTAAATAAGGTAGATTGTAAACTGAGTATATTTATAGGTAGGTTAAGTTTGTGGTTAATACAAACTATCAGTTACCTATAGAAATGCAATGTCATTTAACCAATGGTTGGTTTTGAATGACCTTGGTACCTTGTACCAAATATCCCGGAGTATGACATGTCATACTCCTGAAGTGTGAAGTGTCACACTTCATGTAACCAGGGTACACTTAGTGCTACGTACCCCGTTACATTTGATGTGGTATTAACAACCGGCGGTGGGTAGTCCATGTGTGGTTCCAGTGTACAGTCGCTCCTTTACATGTTACGGGATCTGGATATCAAAAATGCCCTTCTGAATATTTGCATCTGTTGTTTATCACCCCAGGAGTTCAGTCACTGGACACAAGAGAACAACGATTGGTGGATCTGAGTCACAGGTTGTGATGTATTAATACGAAGTGCGGTAGTAAGAAGACTTACTAGACTGTATTTGGGTACTGCAGGAAGATAAAATGCCGGTCTGAAACAAAACTATAGAAACATGTAAGCTCGATTCCGAATCATGACACGAGATACAATGTTTACAGATAGTACATGTGTATTTTAAGAACTTTGGAGCTACGAAACATTAGCTGTACATGTAACGTTACTACAGTATTAATAAGTATTATTTTATGGAGTATACACAGTAGACTCTACAGTGTACGGTACACTGTACCGGTATCCTCTATCTACAGTGTAGAGCACAGAGCTGTGTTAGATCTGCAGTGGCTTCCTGAATGAGTCTCACGCGATCAGGCAAAACACAGTCTGTTCAGTCTGGTGACGCTCTCCAAATCGTATGAATCCTCTCAAAATTCTCCCGGCCTCAAGACATATGTTAAGGACTATGTTTCGTGGTGGCTCTTTTCATAAATCGATACAGTACCGGTACTGTCATACTGAACTTCAGTCCAAGCAGTACTGTAACTGTGTGGTCCCGATCGTGGTCGATCATTCCTTGATTCGCAGGCCAGACAAGAAGACTCATTCGAGTCTATCCTTCTCTTATGGACACTTGCGTTCTCCACCCGCCAACCAACCGCGTCCTTAGCGATGCAGTGATCGGTGGAGTGGCGCAGCGCTCTAAAAGGAACAATACACGTAGTGGGGAACCACTGCATTGGTCTCGGTATTCCGGGCACGAGGCGATGAAACAAAACGCCCCTCCATCTGTGCGATACGACGGCATATCGGCCACCCAACCGTTGCCCGTGGACCGGAAAAGGAAACGTCAGGAGCCCATTAGTCCCACTACCTCCAAGCTCATGCTACTGGCCGAGTCCAGCAGCGAGATCTCCTCCCACGACTCCCTAGCCGAATTCGTCAAACAGGACTGGTTCATCGAACAACAGAACCAGCTTCGAGAGATCCGTCGGGTCCGTCAGATCCGATACCGAAAGAAACAGCAGGACAATATGGAGACTATGGAGGAGAACAACCGCCACCTCCAGCAAGAAATCGACAAGCTCGAAGAACGACGTAAAGCGGTCGCTGCTGCCGTGCCGTCTGAAAAGACGCTGTGGAACGTGGCAGTCGAGTACTTCCGTCTGTTCCGGTACGGTCTACGCGCCTCCGACTTGTCTGATAGGTCGCGTGAGTCCACTGCCAGTGCTCAACTCGATTTCTTGCGCTCTACGATGGCTCCCGACGTCATGTACAACGCTGGACGAGGAGTCGAGGCGATTATGAGGAACTGGACCTACTTCTCTTTGTGGTTTCAAGACGTCGAGGTAGAGCTCGATAGCTTACAGAAGAGTGGGACCGAGTCGCTTATCGCTCGAACTACCACCACGTTTACCATAACACAGCATACTTTAGTTAAGGTATTCCCGCACCTGTGCGGTAAAGACGCTGATGCGACAGGACGTCTGCTTGCGTCCAAGCTTCTGGGCCAGTCCATCGCTATTCAAGGCTCGACGCGTTTTGATTGGGATAGCGGATACGGTCGCGTGGCAAGCGTCATCAGCGAGTCAGATATGCTGACACCGATGCTGCAAGTTCTAGGGAGATTGGAGTTCGTGTCTCGGGTGTTTGAGAAGTCTCTGATTTCTCTGACGCCATACCGTGGGCAGTCAGAAACGTCGTGTAGAAAGTAGAGGAGATAGATAGCTGCGTCTCGATACACGTGTATGAATACTATTAAAGAGACACTTTTCGTCGTTTTTTTTTGTGATGGAATTGTGATCGCCCTCGCCGAACACTCCTAATGCCATCTTGCTGTTGGCTGATGTAAATTCGCAGGAGTTCAGGTTGGAATTACAGTTTCGTGAGTTTGTTAAAAGGCCGGGGCGCTACGCTCTAATTCCACGCCTTTAGTCTCCGTGATTTGACATTTCTACACGTAGACTCTCCTGCTATCATGATTTATACATCCGAGTCATCGTTTTTACCTACGACTGAGAAGTTTGGCAAGGTTTCCCCTTTCCAACGTGGGCAGCCACGTATTATTAATAGTACGTAAACTTAGGAGTTTGCCATACTCACTTCCCCGGCTTCAGAGTTAATTTTTTGAAGTTTGAGATGCCCTGACATCCACCCTAATTGGGCTGTAAGCATTAAACAGTCAACGGAGGGGAAGCTCCCCATTAGGGCAAAAGTGCCTCGTTGAGATGGTTTATCCTGACGTGTCGCCCAGTAAAGAAAGCAAAACATATTTATTCGTGAATGGATAAGATGGGAAATGTCCAAGGATTTGCGCAAAAATTGCTGTACAGACAACGACGGTGAAATTGTTTGAAACACGCCCGGCCCAAACATGGTTTCCCCACTAAAGGAAACAGTTTCAGCCAATCCGTGTCCCGTATTCGGGCGTTTATGCTCATTCGAATCAGGATCTGTAGATTATTGCGTCAGTTTTGTCCCTTTTGGTGTCCGTTTTGTAATTTATACTCAGACTTTGAGCTGAAATTACCACTTTCAACCAATCGAATTTATGGGCGGGTATTCCTGTCGCGCGTAATACTTTTAATTTATATGAAGGATAGTACTCTGACACCGGGCAAATCTCGTTGTCTGTACTACCATTCCGTTTCAACTCTTAAGCTGTTACTTACTTTGGTAGTTAAACTAAGGAGAGATGGGTAGGTGGCTACAAACGGGGCATAATGGATTTTAGGTGAAAATAGAACACGGTCAATTTTGGTCTGCTCCGTACGATATTCACACCAAATGATTGCCAGCTTTCTACTAAGGCCAATCAGGGGCCTTTATTGAATAATATTGACAAATCCCGAGGCTCATAAGCATAATAAGAGGACAAGAGAAGTGGAACAGAGTGGTATAGCTTACGAAAGGAGGCAAAATGCTGTCTTCCTTGGCGTTCGTTGTCCCGTAAACCAGTCAACATGCAAGTGCATGTATAAAGATTCATTGTGTGCAATGGCCAGCCATCGTCTTATCACCTACTGCGTGGCGACTCTATCGCTTTGCAATCCAGAGATCTAAATCAATTGCCATGAATGCGAACACAATCATGGTTTGCACAAAACATCAGGCGCTCCTCCTCTCTCTTATTCAATCCGGTAAATCACGTTCAAAAGACACTATTATAAGTATATCACTCTCTGACCACCCCACAGTCTGGGTTTCGTGTAATCTAGCTTGTGTACCCTCTTCGACATCCATGTCGAGGATTCTCCTTTTTTCATCCGTGCCTCAGAAGTCAAGAAGTGTTGCACTGAGCACAGCTCACCAGCTTTGACGCGACGTCTTAAGAACATCTTTAAGAGAGTGATTATCGTTCTTCTGATCCATGTTCGACGTTCTAGGCAACGTCTGGAGTCATCGCGGGTCCCACGAAGTACTCCTGTTCAAGCACGCTTGGTAGCCGTGCTGTAAAGAGAAAACATAAATACCCCATCATTGTGCCTCAGAAAGGAGTCAGCCGTCGGTGCGGCATTGGAGATCCCTGAGCGCTGTTCTCATTCTTTGTTCCTTTATGGCCGAGTTCATCGGTTCTTATCGAAAGAACTACGGCCACGATCACGGAGAACGCACTCCGTAGCGTGCACCCCCCTTCTCCTACACTGCTGCAGTACTTTAGTACCTGGAACTGACGAAGAACATTCAAAGACTTCGGACCTCGATGTGTGATCAAACACGGTTTCGCTGGGATCCTGTGTAGAGTATCGGTGTATTTCAAGCGTGATGCATCAGGTAGATATGCTGACGCCGATACGCCGTCTTCGTGGTAGGATAGCTACTGGAAGCCTTGCTCACGTGCGTCTTGAGTATTCAGAGCATGATATCGCTGCAATGGAAGAAGAACCCCGTAGTAAGCTGACAAATTATTACCATGGTACATGCGTAGTGCGAGAATAAACTCTCTTGGTGATTATTTGACCTTCATTCCTGCAAGTGAGGTATCCAGGGCGGCTGGGGAGCGTGTCGAATTGCCGTTCCAATATCTAACCCACAAGCGCATCGGAAACACATCAAGGCATCGTCTGCAAAGCATTACCGTTGGTAATTGTGCAGGCGTCTGTCACGGATTCTGTGCTCAATGAGGTTTTCGGATAGAGAAGCATATCTTTCGGTTCGAAAAGATAATTGCTCATACTTCAGTACTGGTCCAGTAATATGTACTGTACAGTATTTGTGTACAGGTAGTGGATCATTCGTGATCTCACTGCAAACGTTGAATCGTCGTTGATTGGTCACGGCTCGATTCAAGATTACTGTTGCATGTCATACATGTAAGCAGTCCGACATACTTCGTACAGAAGTTCTCCTGAATAAGCGTAAGGGGTCGTCTGATAAATTTTCATAGGGAAGTCAAGCGCTTTTCTATATTGTCAATTAGATCTTTAACTCTTGTGATCCGATATAAAAGGGTATAGGAAGTGCACCTACGCTTATTCAGGTGGACATCTATATTCAAGTTAGACCATTGTATTTTTACTGTACTTACGGCTATCCACCGCGGGCGTTGTGCTTTTACATGTCCAAATTATGCTCAAAGCAGAATTTGTCAGATTTGAAGCTTGCGGCTGCAGGGTTGGAGTCGAGGCGAATGAGCACTTTTGGGCTTTGCTGTAGCGCATTTTCTGTGTCTGGGCCCACGCAGCGTGATGTCTTGACTTAGTTTTTTAGCCTCAAACTAAGCTACGAAGGCAAGTGTTATTAATAACTCCAGTCGAGTACAGTACATGTAATTGATCTGCACCGTTTTCCTTCCCATGAAAAGTGCACTTGCTATTTAATACATGCACAACTTGTACATGTACAGTACTTCCGCAAAGGAATCTTGGCTTGGAAGCATCCACTTTTTACCAGGTATATTGCTTATTTCATGCCACCAATGTATCCTGGCCACAACAAGAGTCTTGCCGCAAGTTCCTCACTTGACATGAGCCCCTTGCTCGTCAGTCTCGTCAGTCTACACTTTGCATTTGATACAAAAGCGATCTTGTGCAGAGGTACATGTACTTCAACTCCTCGCAATGGATGATGATAATCTCCGCAGTGGAGTCCGCTCACCTATCAGCTACGCCCTGAATGATGCTGTAATTTACGGTGAGCATGAGACCAAGAGGCCTGCGATAAATACTGAGATCTCCGCTGCTGCCAGCACTAGTGCTTCTCTCCAGTACTCACAGAGCCCTCGAGCACCAGAGTACAAGAACGCCAGCAATAGCAATAATCTTCGCCCCCCTAACAGCCACACACTGAACGACACTGTTGTCTTTGGTGCCGTGGAAGCCAAGAGATCCGCGAGGAATATCGAGACGTCCAGGGCCCACTATCCCGAAAAAAGCCGCACTTCTGAGCACAATATCTCAACAGACTTAACACAAACTCATTTGGTAGAAAATGGTGCTAGAATCGCTATATATCGTCCACCAACGACCAATTGTGACCAGGAGACATCACGCAGGCCACTAGCACACATGACTGGTACAATGGCTGTAGAAGCAACGAGACATTTGAGCCCCTACGAGGTTATGGTACGACAAGTTATCGAGGAGCGGGAGCGTATGCGAGCGCTTCGACGTGAGCGTCAGATTCGATACAGGAAGAAGAAACACGACTATATGCTCCGTCTTGAGGCTGAAACAAGGATACTTCGAGAGCAAATTAAGAATCTAACGCAGCGAAGGGGTTCTCTATGTAAAGTCGACTCTACAAAAGATAATGTGTGGAACGTTGCCGTCGACTACTTCAAGCACTTCCGCTTCGGTCTTCAAGCTGTCGGACAATTCACTACCAACGCCACAATCGTCAGCGGTGTCCAATTGAGTTTCCTTCGCACTGCGTTTTCACCCGATGTCATTTTCAACACGCAACAAGGCATCGAGACGATAATTACACACTGGCGATATATTACTTACGCATTTCAAGCCTTGGAGATGACGTTGGACGGATTGGAAAGAAGCGTTGACGGGTCGCTGATCGCCATCACAAGGACCAGTATTTCCATCAGCGAGCATTCACTTGGTAGCGTATTCCCACACCTTTGTGATGACGGAGATGAAGATTTGAATCGACTTGCTGGGAATAGGCCATCGATTCCACATGCTCGGCGTGACTCGTTTCGAGTGGAGTGCAGCGTCTCAACGAGTCTCCTCGGTGACAGCTCAATCAGATATGCTGACTCCAATGCTTCGTCTTCTGGGCAATTTAGAAGACGTCTCTCGCGTGTTTCACAAGTCCCGTGTTTCGTCAGATTTTCAGTGGAGTGGTATGAACCCCTGTATACCCGTTAGCTATTAAATAAAATGTGTAGACCCCAATTCGACTTTAAAACCTGAAACGTGTCTGGTAGCTTAGATTTTGATTTGCATGTACTAAATGGTTGAAAGACTAACACGGGTAAATATAGTGTTGCACCTGAATTTGACCCTAGTTGGCAAAATGTTTATCTTTTGTTTATATTTAAACAAGGGTCAAATTCATGAATAGCTACACCCACTATTTACCAAATTCCCTTTGTCACAGTAAGCTAACGACATGTACATGTACTTTAACGGTAAGTACTATTGTGCTTTGCAACGATTTTGGCAAAACGAGATTAGTTTTGCTGAATTTATAGGTAGCAAATGGTGGATTTATGATAATGCTAGTTTATAAAACCGTGATATACGATCATTTACAGTAA